ACTGGATCCTGATGATGATGTTTTCTCTGTAAACCTGCTGATCTGGACGTTACTGAAACACTGAAGGAAGCAGCTACAGTATGACACACTGGAGGCATCCTGTTGCCATGGAAACCTATATGTGTTCAGCTGCTGATGCAGAAGTTTAACAGCTTTAATGTGCAGCTGTCAAGTATCAATCAGCTGTCAGTGATCAATAATCAGCTGTCAGTGATCAATAGTCAGCTGTCAGTGATCAATAGTCAGCTGTCAGGTATCAATAATCAGCTGTCAGTGATCAATAACCAGCTGTCAGTGATCAATAACCAGCTGTCAGTGATCAATAATCAGCTGTCAGTGATCAATAACAGCTGTCAGTGATCAATAACCAGCTGTCAGTGATCAATAACCAGCTGTCAGGTATCAATAACCAGCTGCATTGATCAGGACCATCCGTAGTGACCACATGGTGAGCAGGTCTCCAGCAGCTTCCTGTCCTGCATCATCTCCAGCAGCAGCTCTTTAAAGTCACAGTTCTTGATGTTCCTCATTGTTCTCATGAGAACAAGCTGCTGGCTGGAGCAGGAGGAACCTGATTGGTCCGTTCACTGCAGGAGAGTCACATGACGCGTTAAACGCCTCCTTCAATGAGAGTCTGGAGAAGAAAACCTGGTTCACTAAGAAGGCTGATGAACACCTGCTGATGCCTCTGACTGGGTTCAGGTTTTGTTGAGCTGCTAATACAGAGAAAGTCTGGATTCATAGAGTTAACCAGAGTTCCTGACAGATTGCTGAGCTAAACACTGTGTTAGCTCATAGCTCTCACCTCCACCTTCTCCAGTCTCTGCAGTTTGGTCATCAGACTCTGGATCTCTCCGTTCTTCTCGGACAGCATGGCCTGCAGCCTCTCCAGCTGGGCCGGGTCGGCCCGGGAGCCCTGCAGCTGCATCAGGGTGGCGATCTGGACCTGGACAAGCCACACTGTCATGAACCAGCTGTGAACAGGCGGAACATGTAGCTCATGTTTTATCCAGTACCTTCATGCGCTGCATCTGCTGTTTGCTGAAGGCATGGATCTTCTGCAGCGACTGATGCTGAACCTTCACGCTGATCAGCTGTCGCTCCATCGCTGCTCGCTTGTCCTCCAGCTGAAACCAACCAGAACATCTCAACACAGATTTTAGATTCAGTTAAACTTTTTGGCTGCATGTTGTCAACTGTAGAACTTTGGGGTTCCAGAGAAGTGCCGTTCATTTAAACATCCAGAGTCTGGGTTCCGTCCTCTCAGTTTAAATGAGCAGAGCTTCCTGCTGGCGTCTACCTCAGCGAACAGAGAGTTCCCTTTGCTGTTTGGATCCTGGGCCTGCTGAAGAACCTGATCCAACTGGACCTGAAGGTCTCGGTTCACCTCACGAGATTTCTGACATCATGGAAACACAAAGACAGACATCATTACCAGAATCCGATGAAAGATTCATCACCTGAAGCTAAAACTGAGACGGACTCAGGTTCTGTGGGCCACGAGCTACAGCTGAACGTGAAACCATCTGATCAGATGTTTGGACAAAGATGGAGCTAAAGTGTAGCACGTTGAAACAAACCAGATGTAATGTACTGTTTCCTCAGGAGCAGCTCAAGTGTTAGAACTGACTAAGTCCAGTTTTAGGTGGAATGAACCTTCAGCCGTATGAACTCTATGAAGATGAACTCCTCTCTGACCTCCAGAGCATTAAACCAGGAAACAGCTTCTTTCTCTCGCTCCTCCTTCTCATCAGTGACGCTCTGTAGGTGGCGCTGCAGGCTGCTGTTGGTCAGATCCAGCTGCTGCTGTCGGTACTGAGCCTCCTGCAGAGTCTGCTCCAGCTGCACCTGCAACCGACAGGAGGTCCAACAGCACAGTCAGCAGGTTAGAAGCTCCACAGGTCGGACTGTGGCGCTGATTCAGGCTCAACTTTAGAGTTTCAGTCCAGATGTTCAGTCTCTCCTCACCTTGATGTCCTCCAGCTCCATGACCTTCATCTGGACCTCCACCACCTCAGACGTCGTGGAGTTCTGGGTCTGTTCGTTCAGACCTCGCAGCTCCTCCATCTTGTTGTTCAGCGTCTCAGTCTGGACGTCGAGTTTGTGCCTCAGCTGCTTTTCATTCAGCTGAGATTCATCCAGAGCCGACTGCAGCCTCAACACCTGACACCAGAACCAGAATCGAACCAACAGCCACCATTTAATACAACCAGTGAAGCACAAACATGCAAACTGTTCACATCTAAAAGTGTTCTTCACGTTTTGTCCACGTCATGAATACACATGGAGCATATCATCAGGAACACTGTAAATAAAATGAAATGCCACTGAGTCCTGAACACGTGCTGACAACTTCCTGTTAGCAAGTACACATGTTTAAAGCAGCTTTCACAATAAAACACTGACAGAGGACATGGCAGCAGAGCAGCATTCAGTGGAGGAAACTCATGCAGGTAGTCACACCTGTGCTTAATGA